TCTAAATATATTAAATTCAGAGAAAATTTAATGATAACTATAATTAATACATTATTTTGAAATATCAATGTAATATTAAAATTAAGATATTTTATATTAAGATATCTTTCTATAAAAATGCTAGCATTTTTAATTTCTTTATGATTTTCTGAAACATTAAGACTTTGTAAATTTGAACATAAGTTTATTATGCACTTATTGATTTATCAGTGATCTAACATATTTTAGCAAAATGCAACCCTTGTAAATTATGATAAATTTAAAATTTACACATAAACCTTTATCAGTTATCATAATATCATAAATTAAGAAAAATTTTGTAGTATTGGCTTTGCATTAGGATCAGCAATACAACACTTCTTACAAAAAAGGCCAAGATCTTCAAAGAAAGCTAAAGCATTGCGTTCTAGACCTACCGCAGTTTGAAGAAGGTATTGGTGAAATATAATATCAGTAGTAATGGTATAGACACTATTCATCAGTTTCTACTAGTAAGTTTTAAATATTGCATAGCCTTGGGATTTATACACAGACGCATACTTCTCTCAATTTTTTAGGCAACCTATAAACTTGAAGATGACGAAGAAGAATTAATACAATATATAAGGAAATAAAACGCAGGCTGGAAAATATGGGTACTATGCAATGAAGCCATGCATTGCAAATATATTTTAACCATTCTTTATGCCTCGCTATATATTGTTAAAAGAATAACTAAAAAAGAGCTTACCTGCTCGAAATTGTTGGCGAAGAAAGTACTGGTTGAGTTGATTATGCAATCAAAGCCCTCGAGGAGCTTATTTGCATTACAGAAGGGAAGCTATATCAAGTGGTTATAGGTTTTGCTCAAAATTTGATTCAATGTGAAAGCACCCTACAGGTGAATAAAAATATGAGAAAATGAAAGTCGAACAAAGCATTTGGGGATGACTATAACTATATCTATGGGATTGTCACAACAGCTCATTCTTTTTGTCTCAGATGGAATATCCTGTACAAGTAAAAATCCTCTTGATATCCATTTTACCGAGTCTGCCTTGAAAGAGAATTCGGAAGAAGAGAAGGAGTTGCGCAAGAATGTGAAACAGGTAATAGAGGTTATTGTTAATTTATTGAAGGATAGGGTGGACATAGAAAAGGAGTTGGCAATGAAAAGGCAACAGGAGTAATCGTGTACATTAGTCTGCAGTCATAGAATAGAAACTTCGTCATGTATCATGGGCTACGTCCCAATCCTTTGTATTTATATATATTAATAAAAATTTTTTCTTGGAAAATTTCGCTGATGGGCTGTTACTCCTCTAAATCATGTAATTTATTTACTACATCAATAAAGAATTCAGCCGAAAAGGCTATACATTGTATAAGCATGGGATATAGAGGTATATGGTGAATAAAAAAAGTGAGATCTAAAGTCCCACTTGGATCAAATAAATCATGTCCTATACGAATCTGAACTTGAAAAATAAATGCGAAGTAATATTAGGCATTATGTAATTTCCTGCGGGGAATATTATTTTACATATTCTGTGTGGGTAGAAGAAATATAGACAGAAGAAAATTTTGTAGATATTGGTGAGAAATAAAGATTATGGTGGTGTAGTTAGTGATATAGATGGAAACAAGTTAGTTGTAAAAATTTATAGAAAGCAATGGATGATGGGAGACTCGCATTAAATGCCCTAGTCTTCGGATGCTTTCTCCCTTGAAAGCATGTCATATATTTCATTTATTTCATTATATTGTACTCTATTCGGAAATATAAAGCGTCATTTGTATCGGAATATCAGATTTGTTATTGTATGCAACATTGCAAAGTTTAAAAAAAATATTACATGAAATTGCTACGTTTACAATTACAGTTAAATGCTCTATTCATTACAATTTATTTTTTCGTAGCCTTGATTTTTTTTCTTGCCTCTATAGGAATGTTTTTAACCTTATTATATAGATCATTTTCATCCTCAAATGGTCTTTTATTCTTGATTTCAGATGCAATTGACTCTCCTATTCCTCTAACTGTTCTTAATTCGTATTCCTCTGCAGTATTTGCATCCAATTGGTCGTCATCTATGCAATAAATGTAAGGTTATAATGATAATTATATAACACAAAGATATCAACTCATACCTGCAGAAAATTCAGCACGGGTCGAAAATGTATACCCATAAAAGTCCTTATAGTTTTCACGATCTATTACGAAACAATTTTTTTCTAAAGATTCCAAACAATTTCTTGTCTTAGGTCCATTGGTGCAGATAAAAAGGACCCAATGCTTAATGGGCTTTTCACTCTCAAATGATTTTTCCATAAGTTCAAATGCATCTTTAACTTTGTTGTACTCTCTTTTAACTATCGCCTTAGATAAGGTTTGAGGCTGTCCAGCTGTGGTATTTGAAGATTTAACCTGAATGGCAATAAGGTAATCATCCAGAAAAAGAAAGATATCCCATGGGGCTCCATCACCATTCTTAAATACTGTGCCAAGCAATAAGTGCTCATTTTGCATTGTGTCAGGATATCGATATGCAAGTTCTAAGTAATATTTTTCTACTGTAGGGAGCTGAAATTTATGATCCAAAAGAGGGATTCCTTGATCACTATAATACGCACCTCTGAAGAGATCTCGTAATGTTACTGTTTCATCTAACTCTTTAAGAAGTTGAAGACGTAGGACCCAAAATCGCATATTAAATTCTTCAAAACTCTGCCACAAGATATGAGATTTTTGATCAATCATAACATCCCAAAATTGACCCGCTTTGAATTCCTTGATTGAGGTTGTTATCCACACCCAAATATATGGCATACGGACATAGAACATCTTAGGATTATCACATGTCGCTTCCAAATTTATAATGCCCTTTGACGAGAGATCAACATAAGAGAATTTATCATTACCAATTTCAAATTTATCAGTCTCATCAACAGGAATGTTAAGGATGGCATGTGCAACCACTGGTTTCATAATGGTTGCAAAGTCATCAAATGGATATTTTTTCATAAGGCGGTAATTAACAAGCTGAAAAACAAACTTATAATCAATATTATGTGTATTCATCTTAATTGCACTTAATAATTCTTTATAGAAAATTTCCAAAGCTCGGACTTGTCCACCAATATCACTAATGAAGCGTTGAAAGGTTTTGCTGTGATTGATATAGCCTGCTAGCTTTTGATCTCCTTTCATATATGAGGTAATATTCTTTACTTCACTATCTGAAAGAAGACGGAGTGGTAGACGTAAAAGATCATATGTCGATTCTCTAATCATATTCTCAAGAGGACCTTGAATGGTTCCAGCCAAGATTGGTGCATAGAATATATTGCCTTGACTGCAACTTAACACCCCAACAGCACGTACGATTTGTTGAACTGGATTTAAATCACCTTTTGCTAAACTGTGAAGACAATTCAACTCATCAATACCAAGGATGACAAAATTAATATCATTACCAGTATCTTTGATAACAACTCCAAGTGCATTTGAAATTGTGAACTCACGCCAGTTTCCATTACACATCGAAAAAAAATGATCATAGCTCATCATCCCACCAGAAAGAAAATGTTCGTAAAGTATTCGTAGTGCAACTGATGCTGGACCAGCAGAAGTATCTCTCTCTGATGCACCAGTATTAGCGTTAAAGGTAACATTAATAGATAACAATTTTCTATTATCAAATGCATCCAGAAGTTCATTGTTACCTTTACCAATATATCCTCGAGCTTGGTTTTCTATTAAGGTTAGGAGTTCTTGGAGAAATCGACTTTTCCCTGTGCCTGGCCCATTAGCCAGGATGGGAATATGATGGAGTTGCTTGTCATATCTTTTTTCCCTGATATAATCAAGTCTTTGTCGAATCCCATTTCGCGTTTGATTTCCATTAAGTAATATTTGAAGAGTTTCGTCTCGCCCTTGTAAAGGAAATCTGGCACCAAAAGAACTTACAAGCTAGTATGAAGTTAGTACGTGGCTAGAAAACCAAAGAAAACAGGTATGAAGTAAAACATACATTAGGCTTCAGATTCTCATTGGGTTGTTTCAACTCTTTTATCCAGTTGTAGACTGAATCAACATTACTCCACTCAACCGCATCTACAAGTATGATTAGTGGCGAGTTAGTAAATAAAAACCAAGACAACACAAGCTATTTAACTGCGGATACTGTACCTTGTGTGTGGGAGGGACTTGCTTTAACGCGAAAAAAAAGAGATCAGACCAAACTCGATATTTTGTTACTGCTAATTTTTTGTTCGAGAGGTAAAATGTTGGGAGACACTTACCAGTGGCGGGTGCTACGATGGTGGGGATGATAGCGATAATATGTATGTTTCCCATTTCAATCTTATTATGATCTGCTAATTCAACTTTAAAATACACATTAAACAAGTCATGATCTCTCATTTTTCGTCCTTCAAGTTTATGTGTAACATCATCTTCGGTAGAAATATTATTATTTTCAATCCTTTCCACTTCGACATTAACATTCCAGAATTTCACTTTACGTTGGTCAACTTTTTTAATACCATATATATTACATACATGTTCCTTGAGATGTGAAACTTTGAAATTGGCTAAGGTGATCTTTGCTTTATCACTTTGGAAATATCTTCTATTCTTATTGTCTTTGTAAATATCAACCGAAATAGTTTCAGAATCGTCGCTTGAGAGTATTAAAATGTAACAATTAAATGAAGTATCCATTTCGATGAAATCGCTGTAAAAAAAGTTATAAAAGTGATAGAATAAGTAATAGTAAGTTTGAGAGTGTATATATATTTATATACTGTATATACCTTTCTGAATACATCATGACTAGATTCTTGCATAAGCTTTTTGTGACCTGTTGCAACGTAATACAGCAAATAATATAGATACTTCATGAAATCAGTATATGAAAAAAAAGATTCATGAATTATTCATTAGAATGATTAGAGAGCGATTCTCCGATTCTCCGATTCTCAGGGTATTTATTATTACTTAGGTCGTACGAGTGGTCATGAGATTGATCGTTAGAGTTGCTAACGATCCTATCCATCCGAACTCGATCCGGTCTATATCGAGATTGGACCGTGGATCCAACTTTAATGACGATCTTATAGTCTTACTGTATTTAATTAAGATCAAGTTATAAAATAATCTTTTAAATTAAAATGTATTGAGTACTACATTTTATTCAATTCATAATAAAACTCTACCTATTAAAATAAAGTAATCATAAATGGATTAGCTAAATCAGGTAATTGAATTTATCTAATCAGTATATCTTTTTTATCTTATTTGATAATTATTTTGAAGTATGAATTTATGTTAACCACGCCATTCAAAATTTCAAAGTGAAAACAAAAACGAGCACTATTGATAAAATTGATAAGGTATATATGACTTTCCATTTTTGGCTAATATTATAATAACAAAAATATTTATTAAAAGGACTTTTAAATGAAAGCGATACGAGACCGATTGAGGAAGAACTGGTTTACTCCACAACCGAAATTATTGAATTTCAAGTGGAAGAAAAGGTTATTGCGATAGACAATTTTCTTTTTTTGTCGGTTCTCTTATCAACAACGCCTGATATCGAACAAACTACAGTAAGTTCATCAAACTAACCAAAACATTTTTTATTTCTGAATAGATAACAAATTAGATAAGCTAGCAGCTACTATTTTTATCAAATTGATCTGCGAAAAACACATTGTTTTTTTGCCAATTCTGCATATGATAATCTGATAAGCTCGTATCTCTTGATAAAAGAACTGTCAAAATGAATTTTTTTCTAGATAACAAAGAACAAATTTATTCCTGCATGTAATATGCATTTCATAATGTGGCTTTTATACGATAAAATTCTTGATAAATAGTGATACACTAAATATTTATATGTAATCTTGATAACTTATCACAGGGAACACCAGATAAGAATTATATATGTATATTATTTATATTATTTATATTATTTTATTTTTTCGTTTAAAGTTCACTACTTTCGTTATCTTATCATAAGATTATCACGCATTCTACTAATTCGCGCCCATAAACTTTTCTTATCAATTAAAGACGCCACTTTTTTTTTTATATAAATTGGATCATACTATACGAGAGAAATTTTCATCATTCCGTTTTTTGTGTTGTTCTTTCCTATTCACATCCCTTTTTATTCATTTTTTTTATTGATCTTTCACGGATTTGTATAATAACAATCACAACAACAACAACAATAATAATATCATGCCACCTAACGAAGTATCTATCGCTCCGGTTGACGCCAAACAGACCATAGTAGTTTGCGGTCTTGGTATGGTCGGCTTATCATTCATCGAAAAATTATTAAAATATGACAAAAAAAATCAATTTAGAATAGAAACTTTTTGCGAAGAACCTCTAGGTAAGTTCATTTTCTTTTAAATTGGATTGAATTTCGTTCGGTTTAATTATATTACGTGTTTATATGTTTATTTATATGTACTTTTTATTTATTTATTTATATTTTTTTTAAAAAAAAGTTGCGTATAACAGAGTCGGATTAACCCAATTCTTTTCTCATCGAGAGGAAGAACGAATGTTAATACAGCCTAAAAGCTGGTATTCAAAGAATAACGTGATCGTTCACACAAATGAAAAGGCAACCCATATCGACACTACTACAAGATGTGTAATCTCAGCAAATGGATTGTCCGTGCCATATGACACGTGCATTCTGGCCACAGGATCTTATGCTTTTGTACCGCCGATCCCCGGTTCGGATCGACCGGGAGTATTTGTATACCGTACCATCAACGATTTAAACGAAATCATAAGTTACAGCAAAAAATCGAAGCGTGGCGCCGTAATCGGGGGTGGTTTACTTGGTCTTGAAGCCGCCAAAGCTTTAGCGGATTTGGGAGTGGAGGTCACGATAATTGAAAGGTCTCAATTGTTGACAAGACAATTGGATTCTGTTGCCGGAAAAATGCTTCGAAGCGAAATCGAAAAGCTTGGAATTAGGTGTTTAATTGGCTCTCAACCAAGAGAGATCATCTCTGATGATGAAGGAAAGGTTTCGGGTGTTCGATTTGATGACGAAACGGTTCAATTGGATATAGTGATCATTGCAACGGGCATTCGTCCGCGTGACGAACTTGCCAAAGCATCGGGAATTTCAACACACAAACATGGAGGCGTTTTTGTTGATGACCGTTTACAAACTAGTGATCCTAATGTTTATGCAATTGGTGAAGTCGCTTTGTACGGTGGTATGATTTATGGACTTGTTGCGCCCGGTTATGATATGGCTGATGTTATTGCAAATAACTTGACAGGTGGTGATAAACGATTCTTGGGAGGAGATATGTCAAGTAAACTTAAACTTTTGGGAGTACATGTGGCTAGTTTTGGTGATTATTTCGCCGGTGAGGATACGGCGATGCCTTTGGTGTACAACGATCCTTTTGGCTCGGTTTATAAGAAGCTTTTATTCTCAAAAGATGGCAAGTACTTGATTGGTGGTATCTTAGTCGGTGATACTGATGATTATGCCAAACTTCACGCTCTTATGAAATCAAAGAAAGTCTTAACCACCCCTCCTGGTGAACTTATCCTTGGTGTTAAAAACGGACAGGCTCCAGGTGCAGATGAACTCCCCGATGAAGCCCAAGTTTGGTAAATTTTAGAGCACCTTTTTTTTTTTAGAAAAAAATATTGTTCGTTTTTACTAACTTTTTATTAATAACTTTACAAGTTCGTGTAATAATATATCAAAAGGTCAAATTCGAGAAGCTGTTAAAAACGATGGATGTTGTTCTGTTGGTCAAGTTAAATCATGTACAAAGGCCGGTACGGGCTGTGGTGGATGTATTCCGACCATTACGGAAATTTTCCAAGCTGAAATGAAAGCGTTGGGTCACGTGGTTACAAACGCTCTTTGTTCCCATTTCAGCTTAACGCGCTCTGAATTATTCCAAGTCATCAAGATTAGGAAATTGACAACCTTTAAAGAAATCATCGAAAAGGTTGGTAAAAAAGGAACTCATGGATGCGAAATCTGTAAACCGGCTATCGCATCAATTTTGGCTAGTTTATGGAATGATCATGTCCTCGATCATGCCAACTTACAAGATACAAATGACCGTTACCTTGCCAATATTCAACGTGGGGGGTCATATTCTATCGTTCCTAGAGTACCTGGAGGTGAAATTCTTCCTAAAAAACTTGTCGTGCTCGGACAAGTTGCAGATAAATATGGTTTATACACTAAAATCACGGGTGGCCAAAGAATTGATCTTTTTGGTGCAAAGAAACAAGATTTACCCATTATATGGGATGAACTTGTTAAAGCCGGATTTGAATCTGGTCACGCTTATGGAAAAGCCCTGAGAACCGTAAAATCTTGGTAGGTTGAATATATAACTTTTAAATTTCTCTTTCTAGAAAATTATGCTAAAAAATAAATTTTTTGAACAAACTTTGGTCATAATTTAGTGTGGGAAGTCAATGGTGCAGGCAAGTATTTTTAATCAAGCAAAAAATTTGTTTTAAGTTTCAATGATTCTCGCTTAAACGAATGTGCTCTAATATATATTTGTTTTCAATACAAAACAGATATGGTATGGGTGACTCTGTCGGATTTTCAATTGCCATTGAAGATCGATATAAAGGAATAAGAGCGCCACATAAGATCAAAGCAGCAGTATCAGGTAAGATGACTAAACCTTTTAACATTTGTACATTAACTTATTAATTAAATATTTATTAAACTAACTTTTTTAATCTCAAACTTAGGCTGCCTTAGAGAGTGTGCGGAGGTAAAATCATGTGACTTACGCTCGTTTCTCGTGATTTGGTTATATGGAATTACTGGTCTTTAACCACATTTTTTAAAAAATTTGACGTTTTCTAGGCCCAGGGAAAAGATTTTGGTCTCATTGCAACAGAAAATGGTTATAACCTTTACGTCTGTGGAAATGGTGGTTCCAAACCAAAACATGCTGTGTTATTAGCGAAGGATATTTCGGAAGAAACCGCAATTAAATATATAGATAGATTTTTAATGTACTACATTTACACTGCCGACAGATTGGCGCGTACAGCTCGATGGTTGGAAAAATTGGAAGGAGGAATCGAAGTAAGTTCATTATATTATCGTTTGTATTAATGTAAAAAAAAGGAAATCGTTGAATAAGATTATTTACGCATTTTTTTCTCTCAGTACCTTAAAAAGGTTATCATTGATGATCATCTCGGTATTTGCGAGGAATTAGAACAAGATATGTCACGTTTGATTTACACTTATGAATGCGAGGTAAAGAAGCCATAATTTATATACCATTGATGGGAATTCATCATATCAGTTGTAATAATAACAATGCTTACTGAATACGATTTTTTTTTAAAAAATACAAAGTGGACCAAGGTTGTTAACGACCCAAAAAGACGTCAGGATTTCGTTCAATTTGTAAATACGGATGAAACAGTTGATGAGATTGAATACAAGACCGAACGTGGTCAGAAAGTCCCAGCAGATTGGCCAAAAGATTTCAAAGATGGCGACTTTGTTGTTCCCGACAGCAAATCGTTGAATGAAAAATCATGGGTCAAAATTTCTCACGTAGACGCCTTCCCAGTAGAAGCAGGTCAAGTTATAAAATACGGTGACACACAGATCGCAATATTTAATACACACGAAAAAACACGTTGGTATGCAACTCAAAATATGTGTCCACATAAACGAGCATTCGTGCTCTCTCAAGGTTTGGTGGGAGATGATGAAAATGGGGTTTTAAAAGTGAGCTGTCCTATGCACAAGAAGAATTTTGCATTGGACACAGGAGAATGTATATCTGGCGACGCAGACCTTAAGCTCATGACCTTTGACATTAAGGTACAGGATGATCATATTTGGTTAAAACTTCCATCAACTCAAGAACTTGATAGAATACTTGGAACAAGTAAATGGAAGGTTACAAAGAATGGTAAACCTGAAAAGAGCAGAATTTTGCACCGATCGGCAAAAGCCAAAGTAGAAATGTTGGGTAAAATAGATAGTAATGAATGTGGTAGTGTTGGATGTGGTGATAAGAAATTAGACTGGTAAAAATTCCTTGACATCATAATCCATTTATCTGTAAATTTACTCCATGTATATTATTAATAATCATTTGTAGCATATTTAATTTTATAAACATTTATTTATACATTTCATTAAATTAAAATCGTCTTTTTATATTATAGTTTGATTAGTAGTTTCAAAAAGTCATTTAGAATAATTAAATAATAAAAATCTATTGACCAATCGTACTTTACTCCTTATTTGTAATGCAGGCGAAATTATAATTTACAATCATGTTTGATCAACATAAAATCTACCAATTAAAATACCAAACATTGAATTCTTTTAGGAAAAAAAAAATTGAGGAAAATATTACAATAAATGATTAAATTATAGCCGTTTTCGATAGTGTAATAATAATAAAGTGTTTTTAATTTAAATAAAACGAATTGATTTGACTATACATTTCTAAATTTTGTTGTTTTAGGAAGAACGTTTCTACTTGTATGATTATTAAATCTACTTCGATAGTTGTGTGTAATGATAACGGTGTTTATAACGCACATAATCTGAGCAATCATGGAATCTAAACAAAACCGTATCTAGCCGCTTTCCACAGTGTAATAAGGTTCTTATTTAATCTAGTTTTTTTTTTCTATTTGATGTTTTCATATTTCTTTCCTTATATTTAATTTACAAAAATAAAAAAAGAAATCTTAAATAATTAATCAGGAATTTTAATTTTTGATTTTAAATTTGTTTAGGAAAAACATTTCTACTTGAAAAGAGAATTGAATAAACTCCGATAAAATCGTATTTGGTTCACGTGTGATAACACACGTAATCTTGAGTCATAGGAACGATTATTAAAAGACAAAAGAAATTGGTCATTGTTACAAGAAACTTAAATACACTCAATCAAGAAAGAAAAACGGATAGAGTGAAAACCAAATATTAAATCAGAGATCAGAATGTAAATTAAGTTGGATAAGGAAAGTAACATATAAAATGTTTGAAGTCTTTCCGTTGCATAGTATCATTACAGAGATTCTGTAAGCTGCTATTAATATAGAGATTCTGATGTGTGTAACAGTTTGAACACATTTCACAAAGTTGATCCCTTCCTTTTTTTTTATCTGATAAAATTTGTATTTTACAATTTATTAATAACTTTTATAAATAATTTATATAAAATAAAGTATATATATAATTTTTTTTTTTTTTTTTTTTTTTTTTTTTTTGATGTAATAGGATGTATGTTGACAAATATATCATTGTACAAAATCTAAATAATTTATTCTAGTTAATCAATAGTTCCTTACCGCAAGCATCGATCCCAGCTGGTTTTAATTCGGGTTTACCATTAACAACAGGTAATTTAAAGAGGACACTATCAAATTCGTGTTTATTAGCTTTCCTTTCGGAAGCCTTTTGCCTTTGCTTTTCTTCAATAATTTGTTTCTCTTTTGTTGCTCTATTATAATCTTTTGAGAATAAAGCAGAGGAAACAGGTTGCCAAACCTTTCTTGATTCTAGTGAACCTTGCTGAACAATTGGCTTTACTTTTTTTGACACTGCTTCTAACTTTTCCAGATCAAGTAATAATCGTGTCTCCTGTTATAAAGTTCAAAACGTAAATAATTATTTTCAATACATAAATAAAAATTAAAATGTTCCACTTACGTTGGTATCGCGTCGTGTTACATGCACTTGACCTCTCCAACTTCCAGTAATTTCAGCAACAACATCATCAGCGTTAACGTTTTTTAACTTATTGATGTCATCATTTGCCGGATCATATCTGAAAATTTTTCCTTCAATTGCGAACTTTGGTTTACCAAGCCATTTCTACGATTATTTTTTAACAAAAAAAGAAAATTTTTTTCATTAGCTTTGAATAATATCCTCAAATAAATTTTGACAAAGTATACTCACAAAAAAAAAATCGTATCCTAATTCCCATACCTCTTCTTTATATTCAAGTATTGCCTTTAACTTTGTTTTGGGACAGGTAACAATACAACTTTCACTAACTACAACATATAATGAAGCCTTTAGCCATCCTTGTACTGAAGCAACGGGATGTGTTAATAAATATTCTTCATTATCCCTTTTAGCAAGGTTAACGTAAATTCCTTTATTTTGTTCACCGGGTCCAATTTTTACTGAAGTTCCGGTAAATTTTGCGGATATTTGATCAATCCCGTAAGCCGAAACACCTTTCTCTTCACATTGATAGTGAAATGCCGATACAGGAGGATGATGAGAAATTTGTTCATTTAAACATGTTACTCGATACTTTTGATCTCCTTTTGATGATCCTGATAAATTTGATTCCGAGTCATTAATGAAATTTCCTTTTATATCGAATTTTGGTGAAGTGACATCCCAATGACATGAAAATTGTTCCCCAAGGATAGAATTATATGGCTTTATTAATTTCCCTTTCTATTAAAGATTGGGGTAAGGAATTTTAGAATCGCGTCGAGCAAAGAAGGAAAATGATGAACCTCACAACTTACCACAAATTTCAAGTCTTTGGAGTACCACCAGCGGATTGAAGCTAGCATCCTTTCAAGTGGATCATCAGAGTCTCCAATGCTAAAAGAAATAATAACCGAATTCGTAAGTTTAAAATCAATAAGTAATTGAGAGACGAATTCCAATCTCAAAGAATAATTACCAAAGTAAATAATCTGGCCTATCGTTATAATTCCAATATTCCAAGTTTCCAATGGGTTCAAGAAGCTGTGAAGGAAGTGAAATCCGTCTAAAAGATTTACAAAAATCGCGTTAAAACTTGCTCAATTTTTTTTTTTTCCTAGTGCTTAATATCCCATCATAAATTTTGGATACTTACAGAGTAACGATATCTTTTACACCGATAAAATTTTTTAATAAACCAAATAAGGTTTTGAATTTACTTTGATGGTCATCATGATCACTTTCATCAAGATGAGCTGAAGTTGTCAATCTTTTATGCCTTTCAGTAATAAGATGATCAAGAGTTTCATCCTTCAATGCCGTTGAATCCAGATCCATCACTGAAGTATTTTCTGTTGAAATGGTCATCGTTTCATCTTTGGAACTTCTTGATGAACCTTTTAATGATTCATAATCCGAAGAAGAAGAGGAGGAGGAGGAGGATACTGAATCCAATGTTGATGTAGATTTTGCCGCCATATTTAAAAATATTTTAACGAAAGTAACTAGTATAATGTGATGAAAAGACCGAATTTTAATAAATTAATAAAATTTTTACGTTTAAAATATTCTTATTTTTTAAAATTGTAAGTATACATTAACATACCAGGTAAAAATAAGAAATCTTCAAGATAAATTTATTTATTTTTTTTTATTTTCTTTCGGAAAAAAAACAAATTGCGGTTAAAATTATATTATTTATTATAATTGAAAAAGTCAATTTTTCAATAAAGTTTTTTCTCTGTGTAGTAAAATTATTAGTTATATAGTAATTAGAAAAAAAAATTTTTTTTTACGATGGAAAAAAAAAAGAAATTCGAGAAATTTTTTCAGTTTGACCTTTTTTTATGTTTAAAACTCATTGGTACACACAGTAAGTTAATATAATCTGTGTTACGAATAAACATTTCAAGTTATTTTACACGGAATTGTAACCTGATTGCTCCGAATAACCGGAAATGAAGAAGTGAAACATATAAATTTATGAAATAAATATACATTTGCTGCATCAAAATTTACGGAAAAAGGGTTTTATTCATACTTTGCATATCTCGACATATCTGAGCAGCAAAAAAAAGGATTGTCGTTCATTAGAGTTAATTGGAAGAAATGACGGACACGTGATTATTTCCGGTAATTTTAGTAAATTTAGTTTTTTTCTTCAAGATTGTTCTTAATAGCCTAAGGTTGAAGTTAAGACTTAATGGCTAATTTCATTCATGTAATGTATGGGTTTATTCCTGGTAAATCCATCCAGACAATTATTTTGTGTATAAGATTGAATGCATAATCCGATATTGTTGCAAAAACGTGTAAATATAATCATCACTAACTTAAAATATCATATAATAAAGCAAGCGCATTCGAAATGAAATTCCGCGTTTTATCGTGATTGAGAGATACATAAATTGAATGTTTCAGTCGCGTAAATTATTGGTTCACCTTTATGTTTTCACAAAACAAGGTTTATCGCCTCCCATCATAGGACTTTTTACCCGGTTAACAAAAAAATATTAATAATGCTTTTATATTTTATGCAATATGTAATAACTTTAATAACTTTAATAGTTAAATAAAGTCTGTCATTACAATACAAAAAGAACATTGTGCTTGTGTGCATGGAGACAATACAAAATAAACAATATAAGGAAATTTAGAATGAAGTGAAAATTAAATTTCGTCCACTTATCACATTATAATTATCTGTAATTTATTTTGATTCAAAAATGAGACGAGATGTTACACAGTTTATTACCGCATTCGTCAAGACAAAGCATTTACCCAATATGCCTAATTAATTTATTTTTACACTGATAATAAAAATAAATACTTTGTTTGGATAACGAAATTTCATATGATAACAGATAAAAATAAACAGGAGGCCGCAGTCGCACGTGACTTTAATTGCAATATCGCGCAAATTACCTTTAAAAGTTGCTAAAAATGGTCAAGAAAGCAAATCATCCTGTATTATCATTATGGAGGATTGTTTTCGTGTTTCGGATAGCTGCGAGTGGCGCTTGCTTTTGGTTTCTGGTCTACATCGGGTTGTTCCAATCGGTATTGGTGCGATCATTCAGAATGAGATTTTGTATTTGAAAACTTCTTTAAAAAGATGATAACACAACCTAGATAGGATAATGGTTTGATAACGACTAATTTATTTTTAGTTTTTAAAAATATAATTCATTTAAATAGCATTCACTACACCACACCTAATCATTGACACTTTATAAAAAATTCCTTCAAGATTTGGACTATTTATAGTCGATTCGTTTGATTTTCAAATTTTAGGTTTAGTGACTGTATATTACTATAATAACATTATAATACTTCTCTTCATGAAAGTATCCTATAAATTGATTCAAGCGGTCAGCCGAATTTGTTTATGATAATTATGATAAAATGAAATTTTCGTGTGAGAGGATCAGTGGGAATTTCTACTAATTTGGCGATGGCTAAAACAAATATTTCATAACAGTTTAATTTGTACATGTACATACATATTTGAAGTAAATTTTCTTTGATTCTGAAAATCTAAACATTGTTACTTTACACCCACATTAATTAAGGTTTTTTTGGATCAACAGACAACAGATATTGGGGTAAAAAATTATACTAATAAAATTAAAAATTCGAATTCGTTTTTTTATAGTATTCAATTATCTTAGGGTCCGACTTTTATCATATGTTAGAATACCTTTTAATACTGCTATTTAACTATATAATATGATATTTGTGGAAGTTCTGAGATTTTTTTTTATAATACAGAAACTCCTCGAATTTCAAACGGAAGCTCTACTTCAATTATACACAAATTTTTTAGAATATCGAAACGAAAATTCATTTCGATTAAAAAAGGGGGGGATTAAAGTAAATGAGCACGAAAATCGAAAATGATTTACGTAGTTTCGAATATCAATAATGTACAGTAGATTCATTCGATTTTCAAAAGGAAACCCAATTTAGAAGTCATTCATTAGATTAATACAACCTATTACTATATTTTTAAGTATTCATTTCAATTTAATTAAATTAATTGTCAAAGGATTTAGAACTTAACAGAATCCGCTAATTATCCATTAAATTCAATAAATTATCATATATATTCAACATAATCAATAATTATATTATGAAAAATTGGATATAATTTCTAGTTAGATGTTAAATGTTGTTTGTTATCTTTTATTAAGCCAAAGAAATATTATATAATTTTTTAATCGTTTTGTATACATTATTTTATTATGAGTGATAAAATATGTTCATTAAAGACAAATGTAAATATTATCCATTTTTTCTTCCTCTCACTTGAAAAATTCACTACCTTCTGTTTTATTTACCATTGAATCCGATAAAATACCGCACTCCTTCCAATAATCGAATTAAAAAACTTGTTTTTCCACTTCAAATTCAAACTTTTATCGTAAACATTCCATGTTCAACTAATTTTCATAAAATAATTCTCTTTTGATTATTTTGAGTTATCGAAAAGTAAATGCTTTTTAATTTTAAAATCTATTACATTAACAAAAATATTATGTTTCGAATTATGATGATTCCATGTGCTCCACCATTTGTTTTCATATTTTTCAGGTTGATTTTCATTTTGTTTCTTTTCGATCTGATTACATGTAACACGATTTTATTGTGGCAAATAAAAGAATAATTATGTAATATTTATTTATTTATATATATACAACATATATTATAAAAACAAATAATGATTCTCATGAACCAATAATAACTTTTTTTTTTGTTGAAAAACAAAACCTACATACAATATTCACAACAAATATGCCGGTTAAACGTATACACGTATTCCGGAAGTTTCATATCTTTGGAACTTTTAATCTCCAAGGAAAATCTTTTTTTATTTACATTCCATCAATATAATTTAAAGTGTTAATTTTATTCCTAAATAAAAAAAAAATCATGGAGCAAAAATCAAAGTGTAATCAATGTAATCGAGAAGAAATTATTAAAGAGAATTATAAAATTTGTAAAATTTGTTATCAAACAAATATACTAAATAAACAAAGTGGAAACGAAGTTATCGATGAATTTATTAAGCATAAACAACACATTTCACGTAAAGACAGGAGAATGGCATTTGTTCCTTATGAACAATTCAAAGATGTAGCGTATGTTGCCGAGGGAGGTTTTAGTAAAATTTATAAAGCTACTTGGGTTGAAGGTCCAATTGTTCTTTGGAATGATAAAATGCAACAATATTATCGTAAACCTGAGTGGAAAATCGCTCTCAAGCAACTTCAAGATTCTAAAGATATTACTTTTAAGGAGTTAAACGAGGTATCTAAACATTTTTTCTAAATTTCAATTATTGTATATTCAGTTTCTCGGTAGCAAAATAATTTCTTTATTTCTTTTTTTTTTTCAGCTCGAAATATTCTTTTTAATATGTAATAAAAAATCACAGTTCATTAATGCTTATTATGGAATCACACGAGACCCGATTACAGGAGATTTTATGATAATTATGAATTATTGTCATTTGGGTGATTTAACGCAATATATGAAGGATTTTTATAATATTAGCTGGTCAAAAAAGTTGAAACAATTGTTTAAATTAATATGCGGTCTTAGAAATATTCATGACGTAGATATCATCCACAAAGATTTTCATAGTGGAAACGTCTTGATAATGAATCATTTCAGTGCCTGCATAGGTGATTTAGGTATTAGTAAATCGGCAACCGAAACGTCGGATAACAATGAAATTTATGGCATCATTCCTTATATGGCTCCTGAGATCTTTAAAGGCGGACAGTATACCACGTCTTCGGATATTTATAGTTTTGGTATGATTATGTGGGAGTTAATGGTGGGTAGAAGGCCTTTTTGGGATCAACCTCATGATACAGATCTCATTATTAAAATCTGCGATGGCGTTCGCCCTCCGATAATTACGGATGCACCTATAGGTTACATCGAATTACTAAAAAAATGTTGGGATCCTGACCCAAATAAAAGACCGAAATCCACTGATGTCCGTTATGAACTTCATATGATAAGAAAAGTTGAATCGAAAAATCCCACCACTATTATAGAATCATCAAACATTGGACCTATAATAACAATCAATCCGAGTGCGATTTATAAAAGTAGACCTTTAAGTGGTTTGATAAGTTCTGAGGAATCAACAAGGAGTCTAATTGGCACTCAGAATATCACCTTTAATAGTAAGTTTTATTTGATCATATTGATCTTTTTTTTTTTGAGATGATTGTTATTGATAAATCTGTATCTTTTTAGAAGATAAAAGAAATAGTTTGATCGGAGACAGTAGTAATGGTATTTATGCCTTTATATTTATATCTCTCTAATGTATTTATTTATAAATTGATAATTGATATATTGATTCTTTTTTATTTTAAATGATTTATTTATTTGCAAAAAAATAATTTAATTTAATCAATCAATTTATAATTTATAGATTATTTGTCAAAAGAATATGAAATGGATATTGATTAATGTAGAGATGACAGTCGTATTAAAATTGATATTTGGTTTTATTTATAATGGTTTACTTTGAATTATTTTATATAGAAAATCGAAAACCTGCGTCATGTGATATATCTAAACCATAATTTATTATTTTTATCACGAAAAAAAAAGCAAACTGATAAAGCGAAAAAAAATTATCACGAACTCATATCGTGCCCCTTTTTTCCTTCGTTTCTCAAATAAAATCAACATCCGTCGTTATTTATAGATGGATATATTATAAATCAAATATCATAAGTACAGTAATTAAGTAAATTCCTTGGCCAAAGATCAGGTAAAATATTCGTGCGAATTGGCTCGTCCTTTTTTTTTTTTTTTTATCGTGAATAGTAAATTTAAAAATTCAAAACAACAAGAAAAGTTTCAAAGATATTTGGGATTACTGTATACAAGATAAATAATAACCAAGACCATTTATTATTACAATAATTAATCAATATAAATGTCATAGTAGCCAATAAACAGTTAAAAAGAATAAACGAATAGGTTTTAATCTAAATTATCATTCGTGGATGATTTTTGTTCTTTGGGGGTTTCGAGATCATCATCCTTTTGCTTTTTAGTTTTATGAAGGAGCATGGATATGTCGATTTCATCATCATCCTCTGATGCTTTTCTCTTTCTCCTTTCAATATTTAATTTGGGGATCGATAGAGAAGGTCGATCATTATTATTATCCGAAGGTATAGATACGATCGAAGGTTTTGAGGTCTCATCAGTCTTGATCTCGCCATTCCCATTCTCTTCCGTACCCTTCTCGTTTCTCTCGGTGGGGGGATTAATTGAAGGAACGCCGTCATCATGGTCAACAACCTTTCCATTTTTACAACCATTTGAATGATTACTGATCAAGGAAATCGACTGAGGTGTACTTATTTGCCACAAGAATTCTAACTTTTCCCATTCTTTCATATCTTCAATGTCTTCTTCCCCTTCATCTGTAAAATCATCTTCCCAACCCCCATTTACCAAATCATCAAGATCATCTTCATCATCTGGTAGTGATGATTGTGTATTGTGTACCTTTTCATCATTGGTTACTTGAGATGATGGTGGAGTAATTAAATTTGAAGTGATGGCGGAAGCGGTTAAGATTTGTGATTTGTTTGCCGACATAATCAGTTAGGTTCTCACAACTATGAGAAAAAATGAAACGTGTAATTTAATAAACGATTTTTTTTTCAGATTTTTATTTTAGTGAAATAGGAAAAAACGAAATAGCAAATAATTAAATCTCCTTTTATATGCACAGTTTTTCACATGAAATTCATTCAATTCCAAACTAAGATATAATTAAAAAGTGCATTACCAATTTGGATGATAATATTAAAATGAATAATATATATTTTTTTGTTTTTTTATTGAAGTTGAAACTCGAAAAAAAATTCTCACAACGGAGCCAATTTTAATCACAATGATATAATTAGGGACAGAGTTGAAAAAATCGAACTATAAAGAATTTTATTCAACCTAATTTCGTATTTAGTCAAGCATGTAATGATGGGCATGGTTTTCCTTTATTTGCCTTCCATAATTGGTTTATAAATTGTGTTTGTTAGGATTGTTCCCGATGTCTTTACTGGTTAACATTGGATTAGATCATCGTGTTTTTAACCTTATCGAGAAATTTCAATATCAAAAAAAAAATTTTTTGAGTTATTGTTGGTATTTTATCGATAGATTATTTCATGCATGAATGATTTTTTTGATTTGTATGACAAAGTAAAACAAAACCTACATAAATTTCTCGTTTTTTTACTCGATATGATTACAATTTGTTTGATCCAGGGATTTTTTGATAATTTTTCACTTACATAAAACATTCCCTAACAACTATTGGCAATACCATTTATTATTTCGTGTTTTATATTAATCATTTTTTACTATTAATGATTTAATCGTTCTGCCGCGGAAATATGAAAGCAAAACATGACGACGCTGCAAAGTTTATTGGTTGAACAAATTAAACGAATTAGTTTTTCTTTTTTTATTTAAAAGGATTATACGGCGGTAACACACTGACTCTGCACGAATCGGAAATAGTGTTCCATTATTTCACACTCTTTGAATTTTCGGTCGGTGAAATATCTGGAATGATGTCATGCTTGTAATTGGACTAGCGATAAATACTCGGAAGATACTGTATCTTTAAATCATACGATCATCACGTGATTCTAATGAGTTCTTCATAACAGTCGAGAGTTATCTGAACATCAAGATTCATCAATAAATATACGACAAATATATTTTAATTTACCTTCAACTTGAAGTCCCGTAAAATTTGTAATATTTCTTCGTTTTGAACGATGAGAAACATTAGAATATAACATTCTAGAGTGTTGTAAAAATTGTTGCATCAACCTTATTATTCCTGAACGGAATTTTTTATTTTATTACTTATTCTTTTGCGGAAGGTCTTTTTTTTGGATTAGCATCGAGACATTGGTTAATTATATCAACATAACATTTCGGTGTTCCTTTAGATACTATTGGGCGTAGTCCATTACAAATTGCAATTGCTAATGCAAGTGAATAATGATTTTTCTGGTCTTCATAAGCAATCGTTCGGGTTGATATTTCTACCGCAATAATACTGAAACTATATGGGTGATGTGCTATTAAAATTGAGGTACGGATCATACTATGTCTCGTACCTCAATTTTTAATAGCACACCACCAATATATATCGAAGTAGTGTAAGGTTTTTATTTAATATTTCAGTGTCCATATATTGAGGTACTTCACTTACATTTGAATTTGACTTATCGGATACAGATCGTGCAAGACCCAAATCTGTAATTTTCGAATTTTTATTCGAATTTTCATTAAAAATAAGCACATTCCCACTATGTAAATCCCCACGAACATAATTTCATTCATGAATTTTCTTTAAATTTTTTGCAATGCCATGTAAAATTTCTAATTTATTCCTCCACTTTAAATTATATTGATGATTTTTAGCATAGTATTTTAGGCTACCATTTTTCGCATATTCCAACATTAGCATATATTCTTCCGTTCTCGGATCGTGCCTTTGAAATTCGGGATGTATTTTTATCTAAAGTAACAACCAAAATCTTATTAACAGGATTGAACAAAGTAAATTAATGTGAATATCTGAATCTTTTTAAACCTTAATAGGTTTAGTGCGGCACCTTCAAATTATGGAGATAATATTTTGCCATTATTAGATTTCCACTTGTATTTCCTTCTCTTAGAAATCGACCTGGATCACATTTATCCTAAGCTTCTCCAGTATTTGATGTTTTACAATCAGGACACATTCATATTGAAACCTTTTTCCTTTTACGATAAATCTTATTTTGGACAATTTTTCATTGAAATGTCATCCTGTGTTTATTCACTGATAAACTGACAAAACCTTTATATTTGGGGGGAATAATTCAATGGTTGTAACAAATTAATAATTTGAGTTATTTTGAATCTCAGAATTCAACCAAATATAGGATAGGCAATTACAATGGAATACTGTGCATACGAGATTAGGAAATTTGTAGCTAATGTTGTCCTTTTTTTGGAAGATTAAAGTATGGTTCTCGTTTGATTTTTCTTTCCGAAAGAGATAAGTCCTCCCGATTAAATTTAACTCGGAATAGCAAGCACTATTGATCCATTATACCATCAATACCTTGTTTAATATTCTCACACGAGCTTCTGCTTTTAAATAAAAAAATTAAACTAAAAACATTACATTGTATGTGATAAATGAAACGAAAAAAAAAATTTTTTTAACCTTTTTACCAGGAATAAAATGGGAGCTTGTCAATAGAAAGGGAGGAAATCTAAAAAAAAAAAGTTTTTGAGTTAATGTTAAATCTGGACTTATTTTACTAAAAAAATCATTATTAGCATATGAAGTGAAATTTTAATTTTTTTTAGATTTCCTCCTTTTTCTATTGACAAGCTCCCAAATGTTGTTTTACACTTCAGGTATAATATTATCTATCATAATCAAATATACCCCAATTCGTTTATAAATTTTCTTTTCTGAAACATTTTATTCATGCATTGCAAAACGAATCATTCACCATTCATTAACAATTAAATTTAGAATCATTTTGATATTTTTGAATTAAACCTATTTTATTATTTTTACACAAGATAAAAAAAAAAATTTAATATACAAAGACTGACGATTTACCCGAAAAAAAATTTTATTTATCTTATTTATTATCAATATTAACAATATATACACATAATATAATGCCACCCCAAATTAGACGTTTGGAGTTCGCTGCTTTCAAGGTGCTGCGCAAGCGCTAAAAAATTCGAACTTTGCCAAACTTACTAAGGTCAAGAGGTAAACTTTAATACGGGTAGTCCAGAACACTAAGATTCATCAATTCTGAATCTGTTAAATCTAAATAAATAGATAAACTTAAATAAATGATAAAATTCAATTAATACAAGACAAATTTATTTTTAATTTACCTTCAACTTGAAATCCCGTAAAATTTGTAATATCTCTTCGCTTTGAACTATGAGAAACGTTAAAAGAATTACAGACAAACCATTGAAAACATTCTGGAGTGTGTGAGGTTGTTACATCAGCCTCATTAAATTCCTGAAAGGAAATATTTTGCCAACTATTTATTATATTACATAATTCTTTTGCGGAAGGTCTTTTTGCTGGATTAGCATCGAGACATTGGTTAACTTTATCAACATAACATTTTGGTGTTCCTTTAGCAACTATTGGACGTAGCCCATTACAAATTGCTAATGCAAGTGTTGCTAATGCAAGTGAAATATGACATTCGTTTTCATAAGAAATCGTTCGGGTTGTTATTTCTGTCATAATAATACCGAAACTATATATATCGCTTGCAGTAGTGTAAGGTTCTTTATTTAATATTTCAGGGGCCATATATTGAAGTACTCCACTTGCATTTAAATTTGATTTATCGTATGCAGATCGTGCAAGTCCTAAATCTGTGATTTTCGATTCTTCATTAAAAATAAGCACATTCCCACTATGTAAATCTCCATGAACATAATTTAATTCGTGAATTTTCTCTAAATTTTTTGCAATGCCATGTAAAAATTTTAACTTCTTTTCCCACTTTAAATCATAATGTTGATGTTTAATATAGTCTTTTAGGCTACCATTTTCCGCAAATTCCAAGACTAACATAAATTCTTCTGTTGTCGGATCTTTTGTTATTCCATAAAATTGTGTTAATGTATCATGTCTTTGAAATTCGTGATGTATTTTTATCTAAACATACAAAATTTTATTAACAGACTGAAATAAGTAAAATTAATTTTATATGTTTATTTACCTCATTAATAAGAATATCTGAAATATTATTTGAGTCTTTAATCTTTTTAAGTACAACCGTAATAGGGTCAGTACGACTTTTCTTTTCGTTTAGAACTTTTGGTGATCCGTCCAACCAAGTAGCAGAATAAATCCGTGCAAAACCACCTTCATCAATTTGTTTTACATCCTGGAATTTATCAAAAGAAATCCACTCCAAATTATGATGGTAATGTTTTGCCATATGCTGTAATTCATTTATCAACTTGTCCATTATTGGATTTCCGGTAGTATTTTTTTCTCTTAGAAATCGACCTGGATCACATTCACCGCACCAAGCTTCTCCGATATTTGATTTTTTACAATCAGGACATATTCCATATTGAAAATTTTGTTCCTTTATTATTATAGAAGATTTAGGATTACTATCAATTGGTTGTATGTATTTAAATTTATTAGGCTCTGGGTATAAAAAAAATCCAGAAAAAAATGTGAGTATGAAATTGCAATACTCAGGTTTCTAGAAATCTAATGTATTACAATTGTAACTCCATTAAACATAACAAAAAAAAAATGAATATACTTACGTTCATTAGTTCCGTTATTGGAAGAAGAAAAATCTTTCATTATACGATTAAAAAAAAAATGAAAATTTCTTATAATTTTTTATATTTTTTTTTTTCTCTCATATATTAATTGATCGACAATTATTTATTTGGTCGTTTTTTAAAATCCGTTTAAAATATTTCAATCGTGCGATATGAGATGATTGTAACTTATTTTGCAAATTTTTTTTTTGAGCGTCATCTTGATCATCTTGGTCATAAATATTTCTGCAATAATATTAAAGATTTTATACATCTAACACAATGAAAATGTTTTGTTTTGTATAATTTTCATTCATTGATATGATCTCTTTGCTATATTACCTTATCTGACAAATTTTGGGGCTCCCTAATTTCAATGGTGTGTGTAACAAATAAACATTTATTTGAAAATATGGATGGGCCAAAATATTTATTTAGCATGCGATACACAATGAGCGTTTAGGATTAGGCGAATCGTAGCCAAGATTAAAAGTTAAAAGTTTGTTCTCGTATGAATTTTTTTTGATAAGTACAGCGTTATCAATACTAGTTTACAAATTCTCACATGAACTCCTGCTTTTA